GGGGCGGGCCGGCGGCGGCCGGTGGCGGGGCCTGAGCTCACCCCGGCGCAGCTCACTCGCCGGCTGCGGTCCCGCCGCCTCTCCGGACCGTCTCGTGCTCGCAGCGCACGGCCTTTCCCGATGCTGGCGCCCTGGGCTGGAGAGCCCGGAATCCCTATGTCCCAGACCGAGGCCGATTTGGGCTTGCGGCCTCCGCCATCCCTGGGCCCCGCGGGGCCATCTCGTCCCGGGCCCCCTGCCCGCCGTGCGCGCCGCTTCTCGGGCCGGGCTGAGTCCTCCCGGCCGCGCGCCTCACGCCCCAGCCGCCGCAGCTCGGTGGACCTGGGGCTGCTGAGCGCCTGGTCGCAGCCCGCAGCGCCCGGCCCCGAGCCTTGCGACTCCCCCGACCTCGCGGGCGTCGGCCCGCAGCCCCGCTCCCACGAGTCCCCCGAAGGTGCGTGGTCCGCAGTCGCCCCGGCGCCACCCGCGGATCCCGTGCGCCCCGAGATCGCGGGAGCACCCGGGGGTCCGGGACCCGGGGAGTCACCGCGGATCCCCGACGCCGCGGCCCGTGAACGACGGCGGGAGCTGGAGGAGAAGGAGGACACAGAGACTCAGGCCGTGGCGACGTCCCCGGACGGCCGGTACCTCAAGTTTGACATCGAGATCGGGCGCGGCTCCTTCAAGACCGTGTACCGCGGGCTGGACACCGACACCACGGTGGAGGTGGCCTGGTGCGAGCTGCAGGTGCGGCGGCGCCTCGGGAGGGAACTTGGGGAACCTGGGGACGGGGACAGCAGCAAGGGAGAACACGACCCAGGGGGATCCGGGGATGGGGAGAGCCGCAAACCCTCCACATGCGCAGGACACCTCCCCCTGCGCGCCGGGCGACCTGTCCGTGGGACACTGGCTTGGCTCAGCAGGGGAAGCTGAGGCAGGTGGTGTTCGATGGTTTCCCTGAAAGCGTGGATTCTCGCTGCGAAGTGTCCCAGAAGGTCCCAGAGAGCTGGAAGTAATACTAAAAATTGGGCGGGGAGCCAGCTCAGGGCTTGAGGGCTGGGCCCCCAGTTGCTGCCCTCCCACTCTCCACCTCTTCTTGAGAGTTTTTCGCAGCGAACCGGACCCCCTGGATGACCTGGAGGCCAGGAGACTGAGCCAGGCGCCTTGGGGCCTGTCCACTCGGAGGGGTTTAGGGTAGTCTGGAGCAGGCCGACCGCCAGGCTTCTCCAGGGCTGCGGGAAGGGGACAGAATGTACGAGCCAGGCCCAAGTCTCACTCTTCTGCCCTGGACCTGCCCTTCGGGGACCCAAAGTACGTTGCTTGGCAGGACCTCCCTCCCGGTGCGCCCGCTCCTATGCGGGTGGGGCGGACCTGGCCAGCGGCGCCCTGGAAGATTCAGATGGCGGGCAGACCCCGGGGAGAGTGCCCCCACGTTCACCCTGGCAGGGAGCCAGCCCCTCCCCCCGTTCCTTGCTGGTGCCAGTGCAGCGCCCAGGCTCCAAGCCAGCGCTGCGGGGGAGGGGAAGGGGTCGCGAGAGGAGGGGCCTCCGGCCCAGGCCCTGGACCTTTCCTTCCACCTCTTTTTGCGTCCTGGCCTTCTGAGTCTGGCAGTTCCCAGTTTCTGGGGCCAACCTCTCAGTGGCCCCAGATCCCTGCCAGCGGTCTGCCTGCTGCCTGCCTGCTGCCAGCCCCATGGCCACCAGGCTGGCCACAAAGGCGCTATTGAGCCGAGGAATCCTGGACCAGGCAGCATAAAGGCGCTTGTGTCCAGCGGGGTGGGGGTCCGCACGGCCCAGGATGGGTGTGCCCTCCGGGCAACCTGAAGGAGGGGCGTAGGGGCTGTCACTCATTAGGAGAGCAAAGCGAGCACCAAAAGCCATCTGTAGTCTTCGGTCCTCACCCTCTGGGGTGCTCTACAGGCTGCTTCCTCCCAGGGTCACATCTTGACCGGATCCCATCCCCCACCCACAGACGCGGAAACTATCCCGAGCCGAGCGGCAGCGCTTTTCTGAGGAGGTGGAGATGCTCAAGGGGCTGCAGCACCCCAACATTGTCCGCTTCTATGACTCGTGGAAGTCTGTGCTGAGGGGCCAGGTTTGCATCGTGCTGGTCACCGAACTCATGACCTCGGGCACGCTCAAGACGTGAGCTCTGGGGGTGGAGTGGGGGCGGGGCCCACTCCTGCACCCCTCCTGGGCTCCTCAGCACTTCCCCCTGCTGGGCTCCTTTCCTGGGACCTCACCACCAGTCTGCGACCCTGCTCCTGGGCTTTTCCTTCCTGTCCTTGTTCTGCTCCTTTCCACCCCCTTTAAGCCCCTTCAGAGTTTTCTGAAAATAAGTCCAAGTCTCTCTCTCTCTCTCTCTCTCTCTCTCTCTCTCTCTCTCTCTCTCTCACTGGGGAGGGAACTTAGGATCTTGTGCTTGCCAGACAGGCACTTAGGCCACTGAGCTATTTCCCTGGCTCCTGGTAGCCTACTTTCAAAGTCCTGAAGCCCCAGTCTCCTGTTTTTTCCACTTAATTCCAGCCTTCTGGTTTTTCCACCTAATTCCACCAAACCCCACTTCCACCACCTCCTTCCACCTCGCCCTGTCATTGGCCATGTCTCTGCCTCCCTCTAGCATGACCACGGGGTCCCCTCTGCATGAGAACTCTCCGTCCAGTCCCCTCTTCACCCTTGAATTTGGCTTCCTCTGAGGCCTAGGTGTTATTTCCTGTCTGGCCCTCCCCTGACTCGGGACAGTTGCTCATGCCTTCCTGTTCCCCTGGTGCCCATTCTCTAACCCTGACTCAGTTTCTCCCACGGGCCTAGCCTGGGGCCATGTTGTGGGTGTTGAATGCAGAGCCAGCAGTGGGGTGGGAAGAGGATCCTTGCCCCACCTGACTCTGGTGTCACCCGTGACCAGGTACCTGCGGCGCTTCCGGGAGATGAAGCCCAGGGTGCTTCAGCGCTGGAGCCGCCAGATCCTGCGGGGACTTCACTTCCTGCACTCCCGGGTGCCTCCCATCCTGCACCGGGATCTCAAGTGTGACAACGTCTTCATCACTGGCCCCACAGGCTCTGTCAAAATCGGGGACTTGGGCCTGGCCACGCTCAAGCGCGCCTCCTTTGCCAAGAGTGTCATTGGTGTGTCCCCGTAGAAGGACCTTTGGCTCGGCTGCCACCCCCTCCCATGTCCAAAGAGCCTGGGACCTTCCTTCTCTCCACTGGGGCTTTCCTGACGCATGGAGCTAGGGGACCGTAGGGAGGCTTGGGAACCACAGCGCCTACACATGCATGCTCGGGGCAGTGGCTGTCGACACAGTGCCCCAGGCCCGCCACAGTACCCAGATGGAGGGGTGGGCCCAGAAGAAAGGCACAGCGGCCTGACCCCCTGCTGTGGACCCTGCAGGGACCCCGGAATTCATGGCCCCCGAGATGTACGAGGAGAAGTATGATGAAGCTGTGGACGTGTATGCGTTCGGCATGTGCATGCTGGAGATGGCCACCTCCGAGTACCCGTACTCAGAGTGCCAGAATGCGGCGCAGATCTACCGCAAGGTCACTTCGGTGAGGACGGGGCGGGAGCAGGTTCCAACTGCCCTGTTGGTTTCCTGGCCCCCCTGGGTTGGTGCGTGTTCTTCCTGGAGACAGGCTAGGTGAAGAGATCCCCTGGTGTGGTAGTGCATGCTTGTGATTCCAACGCTTGGGAGGCTGAGGCAGGAGGCTTGCTGAGAGGCCAGTCTGGGTTACATAAAAAAAACCCTGTCTCCCCCGGCCCCCAAAAGGATGTCTTAGTGCACATCGCAGGGTACTGGATGCGCGTGCACACTCACGGCCACAATCCCACTCGTGTATTAGAAGAGCTCCCACGTGCTGACACGCTCGGGTCCCCCTCTCATCAGATCCTCATGGTTACCCCAAGAGGTGGGCAGGCAGAGGCTGTGGCCCGTGCTTCACCAGTGAGCAACATTCAGCAGGTCCCTGTTGAGGTTCACACTGACACCTGACCCGGGTGGCGGGCGCCTTGCCCAGAGCCCACAGAGGTGCCCGGCCTCACGTCCCTGCCCCTGCCCCCAAAGGGCACCAAGCCAAACAGCTTCTACAAGGTGAAGATGCCGGAAGTGAAGGAGATCATCGAGGGCTGCATCCGCACGGACAAGAATAAGAGGTGGGGGCTGAGGGCAAGGTGAGGAGGGTGGAAGGGGCGTGGGGCAGGGGCCCGCCTCCCTCACCCTGTGCCGGCCTCGCTGCTCACCCATGCCCCAGGCTCACCATCCAGGACCTGCTGGCCCACGCCTTCTTCCGCGAGGAGCGTGGCGTGCACGTGGAGCTGGCCGAGGAAGACGACGGCCAGAAGCCTGATCTCAAGCTCTGGCTACGCATGGAGGACGTGCGGCGCGGGGGGCGCCCGAGGGACAACCAGGCCATCGAATTCTTGTTCCAGCTGGGCCGGGACGTGGCCGAGGAAGTGGCCCAGGAGATGGTGAGCAGAGACAGGAGTGGCCCTGCCGCACCCCTGGGGCGCCTCGTGCCCTGACTGCACCAGGGTCTGGTCCCCGCAGGCCTGCGAGCCGGTTCAGTAATTCATCAGTTCATCCCCTCTCCTCTCTTCCCTCCCTCACTCTTGCTCATCTTCCTCCATGCTCAGAACCACCCACGCCAGGAAGACCTCCCCCGAGAGTCAAAGTTAAATTCAGGTCGCTGGTTACAGTGGGCTTGGGTTTGAGACAGGGTCTCCATAGTTCAGGCTATTCCTGAGCTCGCTCTGTAGCCTGGGCTGGACTGAAACTTGCAGTGACCCTCCTGCCTCAGCCTCCCAAGGGCTGAGATCGCAGGTGTCCACCTCCATGCTGGTCAGGGCTGTATCTAACCTTAAGGCTTTAAGTCAGATCACCCTTGCCTGTGTCTTCTGCTCCCCCCAAGAGCTTGTGCTGAAATGAATGAGGAGGGTGAGAAGAGATGGGTGGGTGCTAGTGGGTGGCAGCTGTGGGTGTGGACCTAGAAGATGGTAGCAGAAACCTGGGGCTGGGCCCCAAGATCTGGCGGGGAAGAGGGGAGCACAGGGTCCTCTAGAGAGTGGGAGTCACTACAGGATGTGTTGGTGGCTGTGTCAGGGAGGCGCCAGCCCCCAGCTCAGTGGCTGTACTCTGGCAGCCTCTGCAAGGGTCCCAAACTGCCTTCACCCACCCCCTGCCGTAGGTGGCCCTGGGCTTGGTCTGTGAGGCCGATTACCAGCCAGTGGCCCGGGCAGTGCGTGAGCGGGTCACCGCCATCCAGCGGAAGCGCGAGAAGCTGCGGAGGGCTCGGGAGCTGGAGGCCCTGCCGCCCAAGCCGGTACCTGTGCCTGCGGCCATCCTCATAGCTCCTGCTACCCCAGGCGCCTTTGCCCCTGAGCCCGAGGAGCCAGAGGCAGACCAGCACCAATCCTTCCTCTTGCGCCACGCCAGCTACTCGTCCACCACCTGTGAGTCCCAGACCCTGCTGCCCGCAGCCTCTGAAGTCCCACCAGGGGACGCAGGTGCTTATGCCACCTTCCGCCTGTGGGGAAGAGTCCCTGTCCCTCTCCCTGCCACCCCACCTTTGCTTGTTCTTTGACCCCTTTGGTCCCCACCAGCGGACTGTGAGACGGATGGCTACCTCAGCTCCTCTGGTTTCCTGGACACCTCAGATCCTGGCCGTGCACCCCCTGGGGAGGTGCCCTCCAGCCCCACTGAGCCCCAGCTCCATTTGCCCTCTGTGAGTGGGGGTCATGGTGTGGGACCCTGGTCTTTTGAAGCCCCCAACCTGCTGCCCCCCACCGTGAGAGCCCTGTCCCTGGGAGGCACCACCCACCACATCCTCCCTATCTGGTGTCCTTGAGCCTCTCAGTGCCGCTGCCCTGACTTCACAACCCTTCCCCCTGTTTCAGGCTTTTGCCGTGTCCGTCCCACGCTCTGGCCTTGGCAGTGACTTTTCCCCTGGGGACAGGTATGCCCTGCTGTGAGCTGGGGTGCCAGGCTGAGACACAGGGAGCTTTGGGGTCCCAGGGTCCCCTCAGACACCCTTTTCTCTTCCCCTCCATAGCTGTCCCTCAGACGTGGCATCAGGCCTCAGCGACATGGGCGAGGGGCTGGGGCGGATGCGGAGACCCCCAGGGAGGACTCCCCGGCGCAGACCCCGATCCCGGCTGCGAGTCACGAATGTACGAGGGGCGTGGGAGCTGGAGAAAGGAGCAGCAGGAAAGGGGGTCAGGGTGTGCGGACGGCACCCCGGCAGCCAGCACCCTGGGCAGCCAGTCCTGCTCGCAGGGCGGGCTCGGGTGGAGTCTGCCCGTGGGGAGAGCAAGCACGTGACAAGGACACAGCCGCTGACCTTCCCTCGCTGACTTTGAATCTGAAGGTCTCAGACCAGAATGACAGAGTGGTGGAATGCCAGCTGCAGACTCACAACAGCAAGATGGTGACCTTCCGGTTCGATCTGGACGGGGACAGCCCGGAAGAGATTGCCGCTGCCATGGTGAGGGGGTGAGGTGCCCTGTGGCGCTGAAAGCCTGAGCCCCGCCAGGGGCGGGACACACTGGCAGCTCTCCGTTCAGCTCGAGGTCGTCTCTTACCCCCTCAGGGAAAATATCTGCTGGTCCTGCAGTGTGTCTGTCAGCCAGAGCCATGGAGACCTGTGCACTCTGGGTCCATGGAGTGTGGTGGCAGGCACGCCAGGGGTGTGACACTGGCTGTCGGCGTGGGGCAGGTGGGCGGCAGGGACTGCGCAGGACTTACCCAAGGCGAGGCAGGTGGCGTGGGGAAAAGGGGACACCAAGCTAGAGGTGCGTCCCAGGCAGAGGCTTCCCAAGGGAGAGCCACCCTCCCGGCACGCAGGCTGGGAGGACTTCTAGAGGAAGCCACTGTCACTGTCAGGAAGGGTCCCTGGGAGATGGGGGATGTGGGGGTGGGCAGTAGAGGGCAGGAATGGTGATGGGCTTAAGCGGAGGGCAGTGTAAAGTCATGAGAGGAGGATGGGTTCTACGAGACCTTTATGCTGGGGGACTCTGCTGGGAGGTGGACCCCGGAAGCTGGGTGTGGGTCAAGGAGAGAGTGGGTTACTGGCCCAGGAGAGGAAAGGCTGTTTTGAGAAAACTAGCTCTCAGGGCTCCTACGACCTGCTGCTATAGACTGCTGAGGTGTGGGCACCCCTAAGGATTCACTGGGCGGGTACAGAGCTCAGGAGAGGAGGAACTAGGAGGGCCAGGGAGAGGAGTCAGGAAGCAGGGGAGGAGGAGCGTGGGCTGCATCCTTGGTGGCCACGGCCTCAGGCTGGGCTGGAGAGGAGAGGAGCAGGACCTGCAGAGCCGGAGCCCAAGGTTGGAGAGCACTGTCCAGGGACTGTCCCTGCGCTAGGGTAGGAGGGAGGCTGGGCCATCGGGGGACACGGGCTCGGAGGCAGTGTCTGGGGGACGTCAGGCAGACGGGGGCCATGAGGGGTCTGTCCCTCTGGAGCCGGGTCTTTATGTCCACTTGACATCCTGTGAGCCCAGGGTCCATCTCTTCTCGCCTGACCAGCCTGTAGGTCTGAGGTGGTGGCTGCTGGGGGCTCTAGAGTAGGACCAGAGGGTGGAGTCCTCTGCTGGGTCCTCGTTCTGAGCTGTGTTCTCTCATCGTGGCCAGCAGGGTAGAATGACGTAAGGCCGGGCTTGTGTGGCATGTGCAGTCCAGGGTTCGGCTCGGTTGGAATTCAGGGAACCTGGGCAGGTTTCTGCCTCCCCCCCCGCTTTCCTGCCTCTCTCTCGAGCTGGGCTTAAGCGCAGGACCTCACACGTCCTAGGTGAGCCCAGCACCCAGCGCACCCCAGCCCTTGGGCAACTTTCTTCTCTGGACCCAGTTGCTCTGCAGGTGCTAATAGTTGTTGGGCAAAGATGGTCTGAGTTGATAAGGTCCGAGGGTGCGTGAGAGGTGCCGCGTGTGGCACTCATACAGGGCTGCTCTTCCTATTCCAGAGAAATCAGGTCAAAGCCGGTCATGGTGGCACATGCCTGTAATCCCAGCACTTGGGAAACTGAGGCAGGAGGATCACTGTGAGCTTAAGGCCGGCCTGGGCTACACAATCAGTTCAACAGAACAAAAGTCTGTCTCCAAGAGACCCTCCCCCCAAAAAGTGAGCTCCAGTTCCAAACTTTCTCCATGGCAACCCCTCCGGCTCGCCTGTCCCCAGAGCTGAATGACTGGGCCAGGAGGTCGCTGGAATAGCCCTTTTGGGGAAAGGGTGATTGGTGACGAGTTATAGACTTCTAGTGTTTGTGTTTGTATCGGGATGGAACCCAGGGTCTTCGCGCCGAGCTCCACTCCCAGCCCATTTTTTGCTTGAGATAGTTTGGCTAAGCCACTGTGTTAGTTGTCCAGGCCAGCTCCAGTCTGCAGGCCTCCTGCCTCAGCCTCCCGGAGTGCTGAAATTACAGGCACGTCACCACACTGGCTACAGGGGCTTTTGGGTTTTTTTTTTTGTGTGTGTGTGTGTGGGGTAAGCAACAACAGACTGCCACACAAGCCAGTGTGGTGGCACACAGCTGTAATCACAGCACTCGGGGCTGAGGCAGGAGGATCGCCATGGATTCGAGGCCAGCTTGGGCTACACAGTGAGTTCAAAGCCAGCCTCAACTACATAGCAGACCCTGTCTAGAAAGTCACATATCATTTTCACCATTGTAACCATTTTATTATTTATTTATTTATTTATTTATTTATTTATTTATTTATTTTGCGGAACCGGGGATTGAACTCAGATCCTTGCGTTTGCCAGTCAAGCGCTTATCCTACTGAGCCAGCTCCCCGGCCCCCATTGTAACCATTTTAAACGTACAGCTCAGTAGTAGTGTAGTAGGGTTCATCGTGTTCCTGTTGTGGAGGAGGCCTCCTGCTCCCACGGCAGCTGCAAACCCTGACCAGTGTCTGTGCTCAGTCACTGTGGGCCAGGCTCCCAAGCGCCCTACTGTCACTGGCCGGCCACAGGAGGTGCTGGTGCTGACCCAACCCCTCCACTAGAGTTCCAGCCAGGGCTAGGGGCCCACGTTTTTTGTGCCCTGTGCTTGGGGAGTGCAATGTGACATTCGCCACTTAGGGCTTTATTTCTGTCTGTCACGGTACTACGAGGCCCTCTGTGTCCATTCATGGACCCGATGTGGTCGGGGACCACAGGGGCAGCATGGAGTGTGGGGTCTGGCTGTGGCCTGGGGCCCAGCCCTGTGCCCTTGGGGCTCCTGAATGCTATCCATTTTAGTTATCTTCACCTTGACAGGAGGTATGAGGCCCCTGAAAGAAAGCTGTTGGTGGTGACGGTGGCGCGCTGTCCTGCGGCCTGTGACTTCATGCCTTTCCTTCCCCACCACCCTTCTCCCCCTGCCGGGCCTGGCCCCCGTGGTGACTCACTGGAGGCTGGCGGTGACAAAGCAGCAGAGTGAGTGGCGGGTTTTAAAGAGCCAGGCACGTGGAGCAAGGTAACCGAGCCTCCACCCGCCCTTGCAGGTGTACAACGAGTTCATCCTGCCCTCGGAGCGCGACGGCTTCCTGAGGCGGATCCGGGAAGTCATCCAGCGGGTGGAAAGTCTGCTCAAGAGAGACCCTGGTCTGGCCGAGACTGCCCAAGACACCCCAGGACCCCAGGTCAGGCCCACTGGGCCCCTCAAGTAGCCCTGTCCCCAGCAGTGCCCTTGGGTCCACTCCTCCCCCTCGGGACTGGAAGACTGGCTTTCCCCTGACAGTGATGAGAACTGTGGACTCCTGTTCTAGAAAGATGTGGTGAATGTAAACTTTAAAAAAACAAAAACCAAAAACGGGCCGGGGAGAGTGGCTCAGTAGAATAAGTGCTTCCCTGGCAAGTGCAAGGGCCTGAGTTCTGCAAAAAAAACCAAAAACAAACAAACAAACAAAAAACCAGGGGCTGGGGATTTGGCTTAGCGGTACAATGCTAGCCTAGCAAGCTGGAAGCCCTGGGTTCGGTCCTTGGCACCAAAACCAAAAAATAAACCTCGGGGCCGAGGAGATGGCTCAGTGGAAGAAATGCTTGCCTGGCAAGCACAAGGGCCTGAGTTCAATCCCCAGTTCCACCAAACAAAACAAAAAATAAACCTCTCTTAAAACGAAAACTTAACCGGGGGCTTGCCAGTTAGCTCAGTTGTTTAAGCACCTGCCTGGGCAAACCCAGTCAGGCTTGAGGGACTGTGGTTCGATCCCCAGCTCCACACTGCCACACAACACGGGCACTTAGGGCAGCCTGAGCCAACCAAAAAACCTGCTGTTACTCTGCAGCAATTTCAGACTTCGGGAGGTGGCAGGGACGGACAGAGCTCCCAGGCAGCAGATGGGCGCTGCTCCACCTGCCATCCGCCCTTCCCAGGGTGGGCGCACGTACATACAGCAGCATGTGCTGCCCTCTGAGCTCAGGGAGAACACTTGCAGGGACCCTGCTGGCACTTCCAGACCCCCGGGACCCCGCCCGCCCGCCCGCCCGCCCGCCCACCGTGGAGCCCCGGCTGACACCTCAGCCTGAGGTTCTGTGCTGTGACCCAGGCCCTGTCTCCTGCAGGAGGATCTGGCACTCCTGACCCCCCCTGCAGAGCCCCCGGGGGGTGTGCGTGGGGCACTGGAACATCGTACTGCCTCGGCCCCAGCAGAGCTCTGGAGCAGCACTGGCCCAGGAGGACAGTGGAGCTGGGCCGCCTTCTCAGCCTCCCAGTCCCCACCCGGGACGCCCTTGTCTCCTGCAGCCCCCATCTCCCCCATTGCTGTGCCCCCGTGCCCACTCACCTCCACCCAGCCTGGCTTCCCACTTCCACCCCCCTGCAGCGTGGCCCAGGCCCCATGCCCCCCACCTCCGTGGGGCACAGCTCCCAGCAGCCCCCAGAGCCTCTCCCCACCGGCCCTCCCTGTCCCCAGCCCAGGCCCTCTCCTTTCCCTGGCCAGTGCCTTCTCACTAGCTGTGATGACCGTGGCCCAGTCCTTGCTGTCCCCCTCCTCCACAGTCCTTGCCCAGGGTCCTCCAGTGCCCCCTAGCCCACTGCCTCTGCCTCCACTTGCTCCTGGAGGCCAGGAAAGCCTTTTGCCCCACAAGGCCGAGGCGGAGGACTTGAGTGAGGTGAGGAGCCCAGGAGGGGTGACTGAGGGGGAGGCCAAAATCAGCGTTTCTCTCCTTACACCCCCGTACCACACATAGGCCTCCCCAAGTCCTGTGCGGCCACTCCTCGGCGAAGCCAGACTGGCGCCCATCTCGGAAGGTGAGGCCCTCCACTCGGCCTTCCCCTGCCCATGCAGCCCTGCGCATCAGTGGACCCCTCTCCCTCCTACAGAGGGGAAGCCGCAGCTCGTCGGGCGCTTCCAAGTGACCTCATCGAAGGAACCAGCAGAGCATCCTCCTCTGTGCCCAGGGAGCCCCAAGCTCACCAGCCCCCCCAGGCTGCCCAGCCCTCCTCTGAGCCCTGGAAGCTCAGATGCCCAGGATAGTGTTGCCCAGGACAGTGCCAGCACTGGCAGTGGGCCAGAGACCAAGGTGGCTCTGGTTGAGAGCTGTACAGCCGAGGGCCCAGGCAGTGCTGTGGAGGAGGATGCGGACGCTGCGACTGAGCCACAGGCGGGGGACAGCCCCCCCGGCCTGGGCCACCCCAGCCCGGTGTGGATGAACTACTCCTGCAGCAGCCTGTGCCTGAGCAGCGAGGAGTCGGAGAGCAGCGGGGAGGACGAGGACTTCTGGGCCGAGCTGCAGAGCCTGCGGCAGAAGTGAGTGGGGTGGCAGGCGTGGCGGTGGTCTCGGTGGAGGTGGCAGCCCCTCATGTGGCCTGTACCCTCAGGCACCTGTCTGAGGTGGAGGCGCTCCAGACGCTCCAGAAGAAGGAGATCGAGGATTTGTACAGTCGGCTGGGCAAGCAGCCCCCGCCGGGCATTGTGGCCCCAGCTGCCATGCTGTCCAGCCGCCAGCGCCGCCTCTCCAAGGGCAGCTTCCCTGCATCCCGCCGCAACAGCCTGCAGCGCTCCGAGCCCCTGGGCCCTGGTGAGCCCACAGCCGCCTGGCCTCGTTCTCTCTCCTGATGCTCCTGCCGACCAGACGATCTGCTCCCTCTGCCCGGGCTCTGCCCTGCCCTGCCTCCCTCACCCGGCCCTCTCGGTCCTGCTCCAGGCATCATGCGCAGCAACTCCCTGAGCGGCGGCAGCACGGGCTCCCAGGAGCAGCGGGCAAGCAAGGGGGTGACGTTCGCCGGGGATGTTGGCAGGATGGTGAGGGCAGCTGGGGGAGGGGGCGGCCGGCAGCTCTGCCTCTGCCCATCTGAAGGCTTCTTCAGTGCCCCTTTCCCCTGCAGTGAATTCAGAACGGAAGCCAGCGTCTCCCCTGCCAGGGCCCACCACGGGGCCTGTGCTCTCAGAACTGGATGCTTTTCTGACCAGCTCAGCTCAGCAAGGAGGACCCAGCACGCAGGGGACAGGGTCATGGAGAGTGCAGTCAGTCACACTCTCTGTCACACACACACACACACACGCGTGCGGGGACTGTGCTGCCTGGAGTGGTAGCAGGTCTGTGGCCTGCTGCCTTCCTTTTACCCTCGCTCTGGCCAACCCCTCGGCCATCCCACCCAAGCAGATTCTTCCACAAGGCTCACTCTCAGCAACCCCAGTTAACAGTGGCCAATAAAACATGCTGGGCTAGGCACTGCACCACGGATCGTTCCTGTCCTGCCTGAGGGCTGGGGCGGTCCTGAGGGAAGCGGGACATGCACAAGGGGAGCACTTCTTTCCATGAGGGGCGTGGGGAGGGGTGCATGCCTGTCATCCCAGCACTTGGGGGCCTCATGCAGGAGCGTTACCATGCGGCTGAGGCCAGCCTGCACTGCACAGTGAGACCCTGTCTCACACCAAACACAACTAAGGGCGCGGGTGCAAGCTGCCCGGCTCCCTGCCAGCAGCTTGTGAGGACACTGCCGGCTGGGTGAGCCGCTGGCCCTCCGGCCCTGCACTGCGCTTGCATGGGTGGGCACCAGGGGAAGTCAGGCAGAAGGCCGGCCACTGATCATCTCAGCCTTCACCCACTCCATGAGGGGGGGAAGCAGTGAAGGTTGGGGTATGAGCATGTCCTTGGGAGTAGAGGACAGGAAGGTGACCTTCCTTCCCCCAAAGACCTGGTTCAGTCTCAAACAGCCTAGTAATCTCTGCCTTAAATCAGGTGGAAAGATCTCACGGAAAAAGTCATTCTGGTTAAACATTTACATGGTCCTGGGGCAACGCCACCACTGTAGGTACTGCCCGCGGAGCTTTCCAGCATGAAGCGCCCGCCAGCCGCCAACACCCCACCCACCCACCCACCCAGGGACTAGCCTGGCTCCAGGGGAGATGACTCAAGTTTATTGTTCTTAACTCTTTCCCATTTTAGGCTCCAACACTGCACAGGGCTGCCACCGGGGCCCTGGGAGGAGAAGGGGGAAAAACCACAAACTCAGGAAGTTTGGGGGAAGCCAAAGCCGCATACCTCTCAAACAAGGAAACAAACAAGGGCTTAGTCGCTGGGTACAGTGCATGGGAAATGACTGGCACACTGACAGTGGCCAAATTCAGTGTCTTGCTTCTTGGGCCCAGTCGTGGTCCAAAGTGAGTAAGTGGGCCAGGTATGGTGTGCGAAGGTGTCAGTTTCCACAGGGCATGGGGCAGCCTCCGCCAGGGAAGGGCTCCACGTGGCTCCGGCAGGTTGAAGACAGGCGATGCCGAGGTTCAGGGTACCGCTGCTCTTTCCAGAGCGCGGGCTCGGGCAGCTTTGGCCTCGTCTTCCAGCTCATCGAGGAAACGCTCCTGGGATATGGAGTAGATGGTGTAGCCATCTGGGGAGGTGGCTCAGGAAACCACTGGGAACAGGCACATTCCCTTGCCCTACCACCCTTGCTACTCTCCCAAACCAGGGATCCTGGCTTCCCTCCCTCGGCTCTTCTGGAACCACGATCTCAGCTGCGTTACTACTACATCATACTAAAAGAGGAGCTTGCCTGGCAAGCCCAATGGCATGAGCTCAAACCCTAGTACCACACACACACAAAATAAGTAAGGTCGGGGCCGGGGAAATGGCTCAGTAGGATAAGCGATTGACTGGCAAACGCAAGGACCTGAGTTCAATCCCCGGTTCCGCCAAAAAATAAATAAATAAATAAGGTCAAGAATAACAAAGCTGGGCTGGTGAGATGGCTCAGTGGTCTAAAGTACCTACTTAGAACAAGCTTAGCAAAGCACAGGGACCACGGCTCAATCCCCCAGCACCCCATGCCAGCCAGCCCCGCCCCCTGGTGGGCTGAGCTGGACACACACACACACACACACACACACACAAATAAATAAAAAAATAATAATAACAAAGCTTAGGTTAGGCATGGTGGCGAACGCCTGCATCTAAGCACTCGAGAGGCTGAGGCAGGCGGATCTCGAGATCGAGATCAGCCAGGGCTACAGGGCTTGATCTAGGCCCAGACTGCACACCCTCGAAAAAGAAAACCGCAAAGAATGTGGCATTAACCCTGTTCTACTCAAACACTGGACGCTTGGCTCGACCCTCTGCGTGCTTCCGTTCCCGGCCCCGGCCCCATAAGCGGTACAGACAGGACGGATACAAATGCCCAGCACCAGGGCCCCGATGCCCAGGCCGGTCACGATGTTCCGCGTCCGCCGCTGCGGCAGCGTCTTCCGCCACTGCGCGAGCTGCGCCTGCCGCATGAAGTGCAGCTGCGCGGGAGTGAGTTTCTCGCGAGTTGGGTCGATACGCTGAGCTAATGGAGCCTTTCCATCCTTGGCGTCCACTGGGTCCCCCGCTCCCGGCGCCGCCATGTCGCCGCTCGGCCGGGCTCAGGCGCGGAGCTCGCTGGGAATGGTGGTCCCTGGCCGCCGCGAGGCACCTTGGGAGTTGTAGTCTCCGAGCTCTTTGCCGCAGAACCGCGGCTCGCGCCGCGGGTGGAGACGACGCGGAGCGGCCGAGCCTTCTGATTGGCTAAGGGGTTGGAGACGGTTGGAGCGGGAAAAGCTGGGCGAGCTCGCCGCGGCGGAGCGCGTTGGTTTCCCTTCGACGTGAGGCGAAGACGGCCACGCGGCGGGGGCCCAAGAAGCCCCCAACGGCTGCGTGATATGGACAGAGCTGCGCGGCTCCGCTCGGCCTCCCTGGGCAGCTTCCAGTTCGGGGCAGTGGCCACCGAGACCATCGAGGACGCGCTGCTCCACCTGGCGCGGCGGAACGCGCGGGCCGTGCGCGAGGCCGCGGGCCGCCGGGGCCGCCT